TATCGTATGTAAATTAGGATGGTATGTTATTAATATATCCGGTATGTGTTCGATTACCTTTATTTTAATTGGGACAATTGAACATTATCTACTACTTAAACAATATCGATTAGAAAAATCTCTATCTTATCGAGTCGTTCTTATAGTTCTCGTATTCTGGTTTATTCATTCAATACCAAACTTAATGTATTTTGATATTAAACATGGCAAGTGTCAGCTACAACAAATGGGATGGTTCTCAACGTATCTTACATATTTTATTCTATTTATCTATAGTCTTCTACCATCAATTATTTTATCTATATTTAGTTGTCTGACAATTGCTCATCTGCGTCGAATACATCAGCGTGTTTTGCGTCTGTTAGATATAAAGAAAAGTTGTAGTCAAATTGAAAAACGTATTGAAACGTTAAACCGCGAACTAACGCAAATGTTACTCATACAGTCGTGCTTAATTATATTTTCTAGTATTCCAGCTACATTACAATATGTTTATAATTTTATGACAAAAAATATTCCCAAGTCTCAAAAGCGTCAACAATGGGAATATTTGATTAGTGTTGTGGTTCGATTATGCCTATTTATTCATTCATCAAATGATTTCTATATCAATCTGTTAGTTTCAAATATATTCCGGAAACAATTTTATCGTCTCATTCGACGTTTCACACTCGGTTATTGGTGTCAATGCGAATGTTACTGGTACAATCGATATCGTGTAAAACCAAACGTTTCAAAAAATATAAGAGATTTACACAGACTTACTTACCATCGTGCATATAGTCCGTGCAATACACATATCATAACATAGTCTTCCACTTTTTACGATTTCGAAATGACTGAGATTTTCTTGGAAGACGCAGGGTCGAGTTTTTGCTACAGTTATCGAAACTCCAACGTTTGCATTCGATCTGCGTCATATTTCTTTATCAGACTTCATCCATACAGTTTACTGTTGATAGTTATTGACTCCATTAATTAGATTGGATTTTATTTTGAATTGTTAACGTGAAATCTATCCGACACAAACTATTATAACTTTAAACTGTTTATTTGTCACGAAACAATGCAGAAAAAAATTCATAGA